AACACACAAATTCGCGTCTTTGACCAGTAGCGTTACTGCTTTGGCTGTGCTGAGCTCGGAAGGGACAGTGCTTCATGTAGCAGCACTGAATGCTAATTGTTGAAGTGTCTAAAGCCCTTTTTGAGCTGGATTAGTTTTACCAGAGTTGGTCTGGTAATGTGCGTGATTTCCAAAATCATGATAGGAACCAGGGGTTGCCATGACTACAACACAAATACAGCCATTATATTTACTATCCTAAACCACCAGTGAACCTACACGTGTCTTCTGAGCTTTATATGGAATATTGTTGATGGTAAAATAGTGGAAAATCTGAAGAAAAAAAAAGTTTTCTTTAAATTTTAAATATGGCACAAAACACGACACTGGACAAAGGAGGAGCTTACATCTACTGGCTAATAAAGTTTTACCAAATGCTGCCCAACAAGACCGAGAACGCACTGCCCTGCGAGAAGTTGAGATACTTTCAAGATATTTCACTTTCCTTTGCTTTAAATTCGGCCAAAAACCAAAAATCATCACCAAAAACACAGGATCTAGTCATTAAGATTAACGAATTAGGCCAGTTCAAGCTCAATTTTAGTCAGTAATCACTCAAATAAAGTACCTTCCCAAAAAAACTAATCCAGCTCTAATAGGACTTATGTGTGAATCTTGAAACAGTAATTCCCCACTGACTATAAAGAAACACATTAGAGAGACTGTATGATACAGTCAGTTGGGAGCTATATGGCTAACTGCAGCTGCACACAGTCCATCTCAGCCAGTTATCTACACTTTATTTCTGCAGATCAGTGTGCAGCACTATAATCCCACAAGTATATAATTATCTGATATAATCATGTTCATGTTTGTGTTGTTGCTGTTTATGGTTAGCGAGTTAGCTAGCTTCCAGACCAGCCTCGCTCACAAGGTGAACTGCAGAAGTCTAGTGTGACTGCGGCTTAAAGCTGTCAGAGTGCTCTCGCACGTCTGTTGCGCTCTCTCTTCTGTTGCACTTTCTCTTTTCTTCTCCCTCTGCTTAGCACTTTCACTCACACCACTGCCTCGCGACTTAGCGCTTCTTGCTAGTCTGAATGTCTAAACTGTTTACTGCATGGTTAGCCAATGCTGCACACATTCAAAGTGTGGATGCTTTTCTTTTTCTTTTTCAGTCTTTTCTTTTCCTCTTTATCGTCTCTTCTTACTGAACTGCTCAACTATTTAGCTTTTTTTGGCCCACAGTTATGTATTTAAAGGGGAAGGCCGCTGACTTTTCAACGTTTCAGTACGTTTCATTGAGGTGTAAACAGAGTGATTCAGAGTGGTTTGGTGTGAAGTGATTCAGATTTCTTTACAGTGGTGGTGTTAAGAACCAGGGGTCGCCATGACTACAACACAAATATAGACATATTATTTACTATCCAAAACCAGCAGTGAACCTACGCAAGTTTTTTTATGTGATGTTTTTGGAAAAATAGTAATAAATCAGAAATAATAAGGTTTCTTTGGCACTATTTGGCACTATAATTGCCTCACAACATCCTGCATGTATCACTCCGCTATGAATAGATTAAAGGGTCCACATATATATATATATGTGTGTGTGTGTGTGTGTGTGTGTGTGTGTGTGTGTGTGTATATATATATATAGATATAAGCAGTGTTTCACCCTGGACTGCTTTGTGAATGAGGCACAGGGCAGCCAATCAGAACAGAGCTCATTTACATACATCAGTCTTAAAGGCACAGTAATAAAACAGCCTGTTTAAATCTATGGGGTAAACAAAAGCTGGAAAATGGTTGTGTAAAAAAATGAAATCATTGTAATACAACATCTCAGGCATCAGACAGCATATTCATAATCATTTCATGTAATAGCTTTCTGTGAGGGAGCTTTTAGAGCTGGATGTCTGGTTTCTGTCACCACCACTGTGAACAATTCTGAGCATTTCACATCACTCTGAATGACTTTACATCTTAACCATTTAAACATGCCAAAATTTGGAAAAATCATTGAAATTCCTGTTCCTGCTCATATCGGTCCACTAACGTGTGAGACATTGCACTCATCCAAATATATGGACACAGGTGGATATTATAAGCTAATTTCCTGCACATGGATTAAGTCTAGTCCTGGATTAAACTGCAATACCAGTGGTGATTCACCACTGACAAACTCCTGACCTTTTTAAATGTAGATTTAGGCTTGTTTTGGGTTTAAGAAGAGTTTTAAATATATAATTCCCTTTCTGATATGAAATATACACTATAATATTATACAGTGTGCAGCCCCTGACGACTGGATGTAGTTGTTAGCGATGCTTGCTGTGATGTACGACTGTTTGCTGTTTGTATTTGTTTAGTCCCCCCCCCCAACAAAATCAAAAGCACAGTCCCATGATCATGTAAGAGTTCTCAGTATTTGGGAAAATGTACCAAGTTGGATTGTGCATAGATTTTTTTGTTGTTTTTTGGGAAAACTGTTTTTTTTGTTTTGTTTCAATGGGAGAGCTGTACTGAGCTGATTTGCTTGTAGTGTTTTGTGAACGATCTGTTTGACTTGGGCTGTAATTAATGAATCTGACGTTATGGTGGTCATCAGAAGGAGAAACGTGAATGTATGAACACCTAAACACCAAACTGTGTAACATCAGCAGGTGGAGCAGTGAGAGCAGCGGCGCTGCCCTGAACCGTTCAGGCCTCTAATGCTGAGAAATCTGCAGTAACGTTTCATCAGATCTCAAAACAAACCGGCATTGTGTTCACACTGATGCTGTATTTTTACAGATTTATGTACAGCGTTTTCTCTTCTGAGTCAGATCCTCCAGTTTATTCTGCATGTTACAGTCCGGTCCGGGTCAGTTCGGCCGAGTGGACGTTGGGTTACTATTAGAAACACTGAGTCTCATTTACAGCTTCAGTCTCAGACCGAATACTCAACACAGCAAACACGGCCACCTTCTTTCTTTCTTTCTTTCTTTCTTTTCTTTCTTCTCTTTCTTTCTTTTCTTTTCTTTTCTTTCTTTCTTACCTACTTTTTATTGCTTTTTTTCATTTCTTTCATCTTTTCTCTCTTTTTTGAGTATTTTAATTTATTTTTATTATATACATTATTTTTGTTGCCATTTTTATCTCTTTTTCTCTTTTTTCTTGCTTCTTTTTATAGGCAATTTTTCTTTGTTTTGTCCTTTCTCGTTCTTTTGTTTTTCTTTCCCTTTCCTCTTCTTTCCTTTGTTTCTGATTGTTTTCATTCTTTTTTCTTTTTCTTTTTTCCTGCTTGGTTTTTCTTGCTTTCTTTCCCTCTTTTCTGTTTGTTTCCTTTTTTTAACGTTTGTAGCCAGTCTCTCTCTCTCTCTCTCTCTCTTTTCTTTTATTTCTACACACAGTCTGTATTTTCTGTTGGGTTCTGAGTGCTGACAGATGAAATGAGACTTTACTGCTCTGTAAAACACTTTTTGTTTAATTCTCTTTAACTTCACTGTTTGTTCTTGTTTATTTCCTCAGTGTGCAGTTTTGTTTTTACACTGTTTTTTTTTTCTCTCCGTCTGCTTCTCCGTCTTTGCTTTGTTCTCCTCCTTTTCTCTCCTGTGAAACAGCACAGAGCTCTTTATTCTCCCGTCTTTCAGTGGCTAACTGTGGACTGAATTCAGGAGCAATATGTTTGTGTATAAAGGAACTTGGTCATGTGGACTCTTCAGCCCCCTCTGGTGGAGCGGAGGAGGCGCCGCAGCCTCAGTGAGTGCCACTCACTTCCCGGATTATCCTGCTTTGACTTTTAATATTTTAGATTTAAGATTTAAATGAAAAAAAGAGAAGCTTGTAGAATGAATTGATGCAATCAGGTGTTCTGTGACTGTAGACTGCTTTTGCTGGCTGTGGTTTTTATGATGGGGTTAAAAAAATTCAAATAAACCAAATACACAAATAATATGCACTGCTCCCGACTGCGGTTTTTGTTTTTGCTTGATTTCTTTTTTAAGATAAAAATGTGAACAGGCAAAAAGAGAAAATGAGATAAAAAAACAAAGAAAGTAAAAATGTAAAAACATATAAACACACACACACACACACTGACTCCATCTAGGAGCACTTTGTAGTTCTACAGTTACAGACTCTAGTCCATCTGTTTCTCTGCACACTTGGTTACCCTGTTCTTCAATGGTCAGAATCCCTACAGAGCACGTATTATTTTGGTGGTGGGTCGTTCTCAGCACTGACTGTGGTGATGGTATGTTAGTGTGTGTTGCGCTGGAGCAAGTGGATCAGACACAGCAGTGCTGCTGGAGTTTTTAAAAACTGTGAACAAACTCCTACCTTGTCAGTCCACCTTGTAGATGTAAAGTCAGAGACGATAGCTCATCTGCTGCTGCACGGTTTGTGTTGGTCATCCTCTAGTCCTTCATCAGTGGTCACAGGATGCTGCCCACAGGACGCTGTTGGCTGGATATTTTTGGTTGGTGGACTATTCTCAGTCCAGCAGTGACACTGAGGTGTTTAAAAACTCCACCAGCACTGCTGTGTCTGATCCACTCAGACCAGCGCAACACACACTAACACCACCACCACGTCAGTGTTACTGCAGTGCTGAGAATGATCCACCACCCAAACAGTACGTGCTCTGTGAGGGTCCATGGGGTTCCTGACCACTGAAGAACAGGGTAAAAGGGGGCTAACAAAGTATGCAGAGAAACAGATGGACTACAGTCTGTAATTGTAGAACTACAAAGTGCACCTGTACACACACACATTTCTATTGGTCCATTTTATTTTTAATAAATATATAAACATGGATGATGTAGATATTGTGTAAAGTCCTGTACGGTGCTTTTGGTCAATAGAAATTGTAGTGTTGACCTGTGCTCAGTCCATCTGCGATCACTCTGTGCTTCAAAAGCTCCTCTCCTCCAGCCGACATTCCACTGCGTCCCTGCGCCGCGATCCACACTTCCTCAGGAAACAGCTTCACTTCCTGTTAAATTACTACCTCAGAGACTGCACACAGTCAAAACCTACAGACACACAGCGACTCCTCCCCTCCATCACAGCAACACACACTCTCCTCATTCAAGCTTGTCAGAAGTTGTCAGCCATGCAGGCGACTCGCACCTGCCTCCTCCTCCTCTTCCTCTTCACCTGTAAGGACTCACCTTTAATTGAGTTTAACCTGAATTTCAGAATTTAATTTATATTACAGTAAATATGAGCACTGAATATGAACTGATCTGTGATTTCTCTCTTTCCTCGCTGTGCCGCGCTCTCTCTCCGCTGACCAACAGGTAGAGAAACCCAATCAGGTCAGTATTCCAGCGGTTACTGCTACGCTTTGTCTGAGGTTTAGCTTTTCATTTAAACTAAGTTACTTTCTGCTCTCTTTTCTGGGTGTTTGTCTTTACATGTGGTCATTTTAGTGGTTTGTGTATTCTTTTATCCCCTTCAACTACAGACTTATTATTCATTAATTATATATAAATATTAATTATGTAGCATCTACTATAAATTATTCATTATCTACTATGAATTATTCAGCATCTACTGTAAATTATTTAGTAATGACAAGTTATTCAGTATTTACTATGAATTATTTAGTATCTGCTATGAATTATTGAATGATAACAACTAATTGTTTAGTATCTATTACAATTTATTCAGTATCTACTATAAATTGTTCAGTATCTACTATGAATTATTCAGTATCTACTACAAATTATTCAGTATTTACTATGAATTATTCAGTATTTACTACAAATTATTCAGTATTTACTATGAATTATTTAGTATCTACTGTAATTATTTAGCATCTACTCTGAATTATTTAGTATCGATTATAAATTATTCAGTATCTACTGTAACTATTTAGTATCTACTCTGAATTATTCAGTATATACTAGGAATTATTCAGTATTGACTTAATTATTCAGGGTCTACTATAAATAATTCAGTATCTACTACAAATTATTCAGTAATTATGACATTATTCAGCATCTACTATAAATTATTCAGTATTTAATTTAGTATCTGCTATGAATTATGCTTCTAGAATTATTTTCATCAATGAATTATTCAGTAATCATTACTGATCAAATGAATCAATAATTGCTATGAATTCTTTGGTAACTTGTCTTATAGAGTTATTTATTACACCTTTTATCACCTTATTGCTTTTTAATCTCTGTGTTGTAAACAGATGTGTTTATGTTTGTGTTCAGTTTATCTGAGTCGAGGCTGCTTTGTTATTCTGAGCTTTAGTCTGTAGAAAGTGTCAGATGGTGTCACACAAGCCACAGGCATGTTTAGCAGTGTCAGATGATGGAAGTAATTTTAGTGCATGAGCTTATGGGAGGATGCCCCACGGCGTTATCTGAAACCAAGAGACGAGATACTTCTGTTTTCACAGTAATGTTTTTCACTTTTACTGGAACATGTACACATGTGCACATGTAGCTGGTTTCATACGGCCATTAAATCTGATTGCACAGTCTGATCTATTAAGAAGAGTTCTGTTTGAGTTTTTATATCTGATAGCAGCACACTTTTCTCACCAAACCTGTACTATTCCACTGAGCACTTGCTGCTAAGCAACAGCAGGGTTTTAAGATTATCTCAGTTCAGGTTTGCCATCAATAATGTCCAAAATTGTTTCTGAAATGAAGGGTGTTAATAGTGAGTTTGCCCTCCTTTGCTGCAGTAACAGCTTCTACTCTTCCTGGAAGACTAAATTTACAATAGATGTTGGAACATTTATGTGAGGATTTGATTGAGCATTAGTGAGGTCAGGTGCTGATGTTGGATGGTCAGTTCTAGATCACTCCAAATCATCCCAAAGGTATTGGATGGAGCTCCATCACTCCAGAAAACACAGCTCCACTGCTGTGGATCACCTTAGATTCACGTAAAGCTACTCCAGAGACCCCTTTTATTGGTCCGTGCTTTTCTATGGAGATTATACAAGCTGTGTGAGCAGTTGAACACCTTTATCAGGAATGGGTGACCTTAAAGTAGCTGAATTCACTCATCAGAACGAAAATATTCAGTGTGTCACTCTTTATCTTCGTTGCAGCTTCCATTCTTTTCAGGAAACTTACTTACTTTCAGTTTCTCACAGAAATCTGCAGACACACCTCCAGTCTTAGAAGTTGGTTGATCATTTTCTGAAGTAATCAAACACATTCAGTGATGTTGAGGTCTGGACTCTGGGGTGGTCAGTCGATGGTTCAGCTTCTTTGTTTGATGTGTCTGTCTCCATTTACCTGGTGGGGGCAGTTTTGGTGGTCTACGGGTCTTGCGGGGGGTTGTTTTCTCTATCGATTTTATCATTTTTTTCAACGTCGGCTTTTGGAAACTCTCTTCGCTTATGTAAGAGGATTATCTTATACCTAATCTCATCAGAAATTTCTCCCAAAAAATGAATAACGTGTACTTAACAGTGCACATTAATTCAGTTTTCAGGGGTTTTAGTTTGCTGGTCAGTAGCAGTGTAAGCATTCTGACCTACTGAGGAAACAGGATCAGAGTGGGCTATTCCTTTATTTGGGCATGTCGGCAACTACAAACAGAGCATGACTTCAAAGATCTACTAGTGTTGGTGATAGTTCATGAGTAAAGGTAGTTAGAGCAGTATGTATGTGTGTGGTTGGGTGGAGTTGAGGGTTTTAAAATAGCTCTGCTCTCTTGTGTGTTTGTTTAATGATGCGGTTTTCCTTCCTATCCTGACGCCCCTGTTTACTGGGGCATCCCCCTGTGGGGCCGTTGCTGGACTGAGGAGCAGGAGGGGCAGAGAGTGTGCTAACTGAACTAAAAAGTTTAGAAATCCTAGCCTCTACAGCCAAATAGTGCACTATTTATCGAGTATGGATGTGAGTCCCAAATCAATATTTCTTAGCTGTATTTTGTACCGTTGGCAGAATACTTATTCATATCGATTATTATTAATAATAACTTACAGTAACCCACGGCCTCTCATGGCTTATTGCTTTAATATACATCTATATGCCTGAAATTGCAGTATTTTCTGGAGTGAAAATGAGTCGTATCTGATCTTTAATGTGATTTTACAAACAACAAAATCAAAAACACATCTGGGTGAGAGAGGGTGGCAACATGAACAAAAAAAAAATATGATCTCATGAGCCCTTTGTTGACTGAGGCTGAATGATTAATGAAAAAACATGAAAATGATTGTTTGTTTCTGATGAATATGTGAGAATATAAGCCAATATCAGCATCTCTGTCATTCATTGGCCCAACAAACGCAAAGCTCAGACCCCCATCTATAATAATTAACTGATCAATTAACTTCATTTTTCTCAGAAAAAAGCTGATCTTCGTTAAATGTGGGCTACAGTCTCTAGGGCAAAAGGGTTTCTAATAAAGTGGACAAGAACTGTAAACTCACAGTTGGAGCCCCGCTGGTGACATCCTGTATAAATAAAAATAATGCGTGGTCATGCAGCATTAACACATCGGAACGAGATCTTAATGTACAGGACCTGTCTCATGGCCACAACTTATTTCCCTCGTTTCCACACCTTAATAAGTCATGGCCACGCATTGGGATCTCATCCCCATGCCTTACTAAATCATGGCTACGACCTAATTATCTCATTCCCACACCTTACTAAGTCATGACCATGCATCAGGATCTCAGCGTAGATGAAATTTGGCGCGTTTGCTTTGCTGCAGCTTTAGCATTTCAGCAGAGTAGCTTAGCTAGTTTTTGCTTTCAGGCTGTTTCCACCACAGGCTACATTAAAAACTGCTTACATGCTAAAAGACTGATATTTGAAATGTTTCTCACGTTTGACTTTCCAGCCCCTTTCAGTGCTGGTTTAAAGGTGCTGTTTAACTTGCTGTAGCTTTAGCTTTGAAACGGAGCTGGTTGTTGCTTTCAGGCTGCAGATCAGCTCTGCTTTGAGGTTTTTAATGAGCTGATTAGTTTGATCAGGTGTCAAAGAGCAGGACAGCACTCGAATGTGCAGGACCAAGATGAGGATAGGGAAAAACCAGGCTAGATTTACAGATCAGTGTATATACTAGGCACCAGATGTTCAAATATTAGCATGTAGCATGGCAGGAACTTGGGCTGGAGTTCTGATTGACTTCTGCTTTGAGCTAGAAGGATGGACCCCCACCTCGATGAACAGGGTTTGAGAACTTTATCACAAGAAGGTAGAGATGGAAATTTATAGAACATATAGCTCAGAAGGAGGAGCTTCATATGTGGTCCTCCTTCCAACCTTGGAAGAGGCCTTCTTAATTTTTGACTATTGATTATTGTTGACTATGTTTCTATGACATCACTTGTGTGCTTTGGGTGCTCAACTATTCATAAACATTGTGTTTAGGAACTTATTAAGATATCCTTTAAACATGTTGGGTCTGGTACTGATTTTTAGGTTAGTCTATGTATTAGCTTATATTAGTGTCTCTAATTCCAGTGTCTTCAAGTTTTTTCCACTTAATAAATAATAACTGAAATAAATAGAAAATGTAGTGTAAAGTTGTGCTATCAATGTCAGTGTAGTCTGCACATCTTGTGTCAGCTTTATTATGTCTGATTTGCATAATGTCTAATACTGAGCTCTTCTGAACAAGCTATAATACAGGACAGGTAATCAGAACAGAGCTTTTTTGCATATATCCGTCTTAAAGGCACAGTAACATAAATAACCTGTTTAATTTTAAGGGACAAAGAGTAGCTGGAAAATGGCCATGTAGAAAAGGCTGACTGAAACATTATGACTATTTTCAGTACATAAAACCACACAAATATCATAAGTGCACCTCCAGGAGAAACATAAAGTACAAGAAATGTGTGGGCCCTTTAAATAAACCAGTTAAATTGCTTGTTACTTTACAAATTGATTTGTTAGGCTGAGCTGACCAACCATTTTTACAGTGTACCATTACTGGAATCAGCTTTCAATGATATAAGCCTAGTTTTGTTGAAGATAACTATATAAAGTGATTCTAATATGATGTTCATGCTCTACAACTTCACAGATTTCAAATACATAGTCGAAAGCTGTAATAAGCAAAAACAGGTGTAGACGATTCTAAAATGACTGAGAAAGCTGTAGAAGATCAAGAATGAAGTCCTAATTAATATTTGTAATGAGGTATCCAAGCTAAGACCACAGCATTTCCTTTTGGTCCTTTATCAGTAGGGCAGTGTTGTGCTAAACCAGTCATTGTTAGCTGAAATGCTAACAGTGTTTTTAGAATTGGCTAGCTATTCAAATATGTTGAGTTTGAGCTTCAACTGTAGAGAACAAGAGAATCATAAATGAAAGAGAAACCAGAGAAACAGAAGTCATCGGTCCTACTATAAGCTATGAAAAGGCCTCCATTCTACTGCAGTTTAGTCTCAGCTAAACTGCTAAACAAACTCCACTCACACAAAGAGGCTACAAAACAATGCAGTTGTTTTTGTTCAAAATTAGCCAAATCAGATGTAACAGTGAGTCATACAGTGTCAGAAACTACATAATCAAGTCTAATAGACGTTACTGACCAACTCCACACTGTTCGATGATTTAGGCCTGCAGTTAGCACCATGATAATCTTTGTATAAGCACTCGTAGACCTCTAGACCTCATCATGCTGTAGTGAGTGTCATGCCTGTTTGCCTATAGGAAATATGGATGTCATTTTTTTGTAAATTGCTGATATTGCGCCATATGTCAAACAAAATGTTTGAAACCTGAAATGTTTTGTTCTGTGTACATTTTTCCACTTCCTGCCACTGAATCCTCTGAATTACAATGTCATTTATCAGTGAAAATACTATTAATGGGAATTCCATTTCTTGTCAGTGGCTCAGCTCACAAATACGGCTCGAATATGGATCTTCATTCAGTAGCAATATCATTTTTTTGTTTTTGTGTTTCCCAAAATTAGCCAAGTTAGAAATGTTATCTATGATTTAATTTTCAGTAGAACTAATTGCTAAAAATTGCATTTGTTATTAAGTAGTTTCCCTGGGTGGTTTTTGAGAGGAAGCGATCACATGACAGGCAGAAGGGCAAAATGCAGGCAAATCCATCAACCATCTCGTGAAGAATTACTTGAAAACCACCAAGAACAAGACCAGAACCAAAAAAACACAGCAAGCAGCAGGTTTGAGGATAATGAGGGGGCAGAATACCACCTAAAACTGCCAAAGCAACTTCCACATTTAACAAATGTGCCATCTTATAAAATGAGTTCAGTGCGCAGGACAGTGAGCTTGTGCCAAGCATTGTGTGCATTTCCATATGTTAGGCTAACAACACTGTAATTTAGACACCCATGTGACATTCGGAGGAAAAATAAGGCAGAACATAACATTTTTGTTTACCCCAGGGTCTGGTAGCAGCAATTTTCGAGAACAATTTTTCTCCCAGTTAGCAAAATTTATCTGGCCTACTTGTGGGGTACGGTCTTGGGTTTATTTTGATTCAGTATACAGCCCAGTCCTCAGCCCAGATCTGGACCACATACTGTAAAGTGAGTAGAAATAATGGATGTGTGCCAAATTTGGCCCAGTTACATTGTTGGTCCACAACATTCGTGGCAGATTTCACTCACCGTATGAAGCTGTATGGGAATCTGGTCCTATTCTGGCCCATATGCCTAACATCTGTCTGCAACCGATACTCGCGTAGGAAAGCAAGAATCATCCCAAAAATGTCTGCTAACTAAAGTTCCTAATGAGGGCATGACACTGATTAATGATGGCAGGGCTTCAGAGGTCTACAGGCTTGTCTATTAGGTCTATTAGCCTCGTAGCTCCAATATGATGCTAAAGAAGCACATTTGTTTGACCTCATAATGGCTGATTGACTATATTATTAAAAGTACAATCAAAGGGAAAAAAACAGAGTTACTCCAGAGGCTAAGCTTTTCTCTCATGACTTCCTGTAACAAGAGTTCCTGGAGCATTTTAATACAAGAAAAGAAAATAGTTGTTAAAATATTAATAGTGATTGAAGTTCCACTCATTCTCACATTCCACTTTTGTTTCTCCAGAATTTGTCATAAAAAACGTCACACTCTTCGTTCATCCTGCAAAAGAAGTGGAACGAGGCACGAACCTGACACTAACCTGCAATGCTCAAGTTAGCCATACCGGCGGCCATCTTCCCCAGTACACATACAACTTCTACAAAGACTTCAAGCCCAAAGAATTACACACGCAAAAGACGCACGCTGTGGAGCAGATGAACTTCTCCATCCCTGATGCTCGAGCCTTTGACTCAGGAACGTACCAGTGCGAGTTGGTGATCGATCAACAAAAGGAGAACAGTCAAACTGCGGATGTCAAAGTCAAAGGTTAGCAATTTACTGTCTGCATCGAACCATGTCCATTTCTGCATTTTACTTTTGTCATTATAATAACATGCTCTCTCAGTGCTGTTGTTGCATTTGTTTTGATGTGTAAAAAACCTGATCTAGCAAAGAATATTCAGAATAAATAGATGCTGCCTTTTTAGACTCATAAATAGTAATGCACTTCACTCTACACTGGGCTTTTTTTTTGTTACAGATCAGTAATTATTAAGTTAGTGAATCATGTTCTATATACAATAAAGGCAGCATGGAGCTTCTCTTATACACTGGCTGTGTTTACATGCAAAATTTTTGCCAATCCAATTGAATACTTTCCAGTTATAGATTAAGACTGAGGTGTTTATGTGCTCACTCTACTCAACAATCTGATGAAAATCTCCATTTACATGCACACTCCAAGCAATCAGATCCAAAATCACGTGTCTGCGTAGCAAACCCCTTAGCGTAGATGTTACCATGACAGCAAGCATCACGTGAGTCCAGTCAGAGTGAGATGAGCAGCAGTGAGCAGTGCTTGTGTTTTTAATTACTTTAAAATGATGTCATGTGAACGTTTTTCACATGTACTTATTAAAGAAGGCAGAGAGGAAGACGTCGTGCTCTGAGACCCATAAGCTGGACACCCCCGTCTCACCGCTGTCTTTTAAAGCTCAAAGCATAAACTTTGTCTCCTCTGCAGACCAGTTTCTGCTCCCGCCGTGTTAAACGTTATGAACTTTTGCTATGACGTGACGCACATGCACAGAATGTACTTAAACGTTCTGATTGGGAAAGTAATCAGATACAGGCATTTACATGGCTATTATTCTTCTATTTAACAGATTATTTTCAGGGTTCCCCACCTCGTTTAATAGGATAAAAAATGTATTCTGAATGGCCTCGGTCGGACTAGTGTATCCCGATTGAGGTGTGTGCATGGACGTATTGTATTGCGATTAAGCTGTTAGCTGGATTATTAATGGATTATCAGGCTGCATGTAAACATGGCTAGTGATAGGAAACATGGTAAAACAAACTCTTCTATCTTTGCTAACAATTGCAGTAACAATTACTGAGAAACCTTCAGATTTATATAAACACAAATTAGCAAACTCTTTCCTCAGTTGAGGATAAAGCCTTTTTTTTTGGAATTATCAGTTTATATAGAATTTGCTAAGATAACATTCACTAGCTAAGTAGCTAGCATAGGTTTCCTTACTATTGGCCACTGTAAAGTACTTTACTCACCAAAATTAATTTATTTTCAGAAGAGATATGTGTGTAAAATAATGTCCAGGACTCATTTGACTTTGAAAGAACATATTTTTTTTCAATAATAACATTTTTGTTTACTTGTTACTGTTGTTAATACCGCTAGAATAATGGGCGTCCCCCAATATTAGCCACCTCACTTCGAATGAGAGAATAGCTGGGTTTTCTGTAATTCATTCATTAAAACAGCATATCATGTTTACAGAGGGATTAATTTTGTCCTTTGTACTCTGAATATGTGACATTAGTTAGTAAAAACACTTAGCAGTGTGCTAACTTAGCAGTTAGATCAACTAGTGAGTAAAAACTGCACTTTCACTGTAATCTGGCACTCACTTCGCTGCAGTGGATGAATAAAAAGCCTTTATACAGTTGTTAAAGAATTATTTGGTTAGTGCTTTATTCGTTTTAGTAAATGTAAATGTGGGGGAACAACAGTGAGATGAAAGTGCACAGTTTGATTAAGAATCTTTAACAGCACAGCTTAAAGTTGCTAATATCTAACATAAGAGCACAGCATTCCGTACACTTCAGCATTCCATACACTTCCCTACAACTTTCCCTATTTGTGTAATAAACACCACACTGTCATTGTCATATATCCTTGTTTCCATCAAAACGGTTGGCAAGAACAGCTAAGCTGAGTTTGGACATTAAATCTGTGTAAATAGTGACCGACCCCCCAGCGCGACCCAAAAATGGATTTTTTAGTTTGTGAGAAACTCATTCTGTGTGGGAAATGTGAGTTGGATGATCGCTAAATGGCTTCTTTAAAAGTCAGAAACGTCCTAGTTGTCCCCTTGGTCTTGAGCGCAGCATAGCATTATTAGTGTTTATGCTAGCAGCCAGTACCATAATCATAATAAAGCAATCATAGCTACACCCTCAGATGTATAGAGTAGGGGGGGTACAATACAAACTTTTGGAGGTAAAGAAAATCAGAAGAAAAATAGCTTATTGACGCAACACGGAAAACACATCAAAACAGTCCTATAAATGTTTGCTGTTGTTCGACCTGCAGGGCTGCAAGTGCCAGAGCTGATTGTGGATAAGCAGAGGGTGAGTGAGGGTGAGAGAGTGAGCGCCACCTGCAGGGCAGAGGAAGAAAAGGGTTCACTGCTGTTCTCCTTTAAAGATGGCACTAAAGAAGTGTACAGACAATCTTCAGAAAGTGGCCACGTGCAGACACTATTGCAACTCCGCTACGCAAGGATTGCAAGACTGTCCTGCTCGTACGTCATTGATCGATTAGAGTCAAACGTCAGTAATGTGGTCACTGTTGAAGTGCAAGGTAAGAAAATTAGTTCATGCTGTCATTCATAATTAGATAGTGATTACTTTATAAATTCAGTCCAGTGACTTAAAATTACATGACTGATAAAATAATCAGTAATGTCATTTTTCAGAAGTATTATTTTAAATGACCCTTAGTTTAATTGGAGATTATTTATAAACTGTCCTCTATAAAGCATGAATAGTAAACATGGTTCTTTGTTCTATGACATGCAAAAGTTATAGCGCCCCTGGCCAAATCTCATGTTTTTGTTGATTTTCGAAGTGAAATTAAGTTAAAACATCCTCTAAACACACATCTGCACATTTTAATGCACATTTAACATATTGAAAAAAATAAAACTTATGCTTCTATTTTTGTTTTATTTTTTTCCTCAACATGTGAATTTCAATCATGACAAAAATGACAAGTTTTGTTTGTTCAAAGTTTGCTTGTTAGGGATGTGTTAACTTATTTTTGCTTAGGAAACCAACAAAACATATAATTTTACCAGGGGTGTTCAAACTTTTGCACACAGCTGTGCATCTGTTGGACAAATGCAGACTCTGTTTTGTTAGTGTTTCACTATTTAAATTTTTTTAAACCCAGAGCTGGACATCAGGCCAAATATCACCTTCCAGCCATCCACAGAGGTCATTGAGGGGGACACTGTGCAGATCTTCTGTCCCGTGGACTCAAAATTCCAAAACTCAACATTCTCACTCTGGCTGATCAAAGGCAGGGATATCCTCAAACCTGACATGAAAAACTCCCACTACAGTAAGGTGGTCCAGGCCGCGGACACTGGGGAATACGAGTGCAGCACTAAAATGAACAGTATCACCAAAACTGATGCTCAAAATCTGACAGTCAAAGGTGAGAAATGTTCAAGTTCAAGAGTTTTGTGTGTGGTCATTTCAGCTGTATACAAGTACACAGTGGAACAAAACAACATTCCTCCAGGACCAACACAGAAACACAAGTGCATACCATATACAGTATGACATATTAGCAGGTAGCCTAGCATATAGCTTTAGCAGTCATTGAGATAGAAACCAGAACAACAGCAACGGATTATAGTAGTTACTTGATAAAGTAATTCTAGCAGCCGATGTTGTTAAAGAAATAAAATGTGCAAAAGTGCAAATGATATTTAAATATAGTATTGACATTGATTTATTAATGTGTTTATGATGTTAGTATTTTAATGAACTGTTAATTGTATTTATAGCTGAATTTGGTCTGCAGAATCTCTTTTGACAGGAATATTTAGTCACTATCAGGACGAAATATTTTTTTGTTTTTTACAGAACTTGAAAATACCAGTACTGCTGTAATGGCTTAGCAACACCTTAGCAACAACCTGGGATTGCATATTAATGGCTTAGGAACACCATAGCAACCACCTGGGATTGCATATTAATGGCTTAGCAACATCTTAGCAACCACCTGGGATTCCATAGTAATCGCTTAGCAACATCTTAGCAACCACCTAGGATTCCATACTAATGGCTTAGCAACGTCTTAGCACCCACCTGGGATTCCATACTGATGGCTTAGCAACATCTTAGCAACCACCTGGGATTACATACTAAGATATTTTTATTTATTCTGCTGAAACCTGACTGATTCGTCTCACAAGCAGAACAGGAGGGGACTTTTTTAATATAGCCTTATATAATCGATCAACCAAGTAAAGGCATGTTTGATGAAGCTACAAGGCTAATGTGGCTAATAAGCTGATGTACACCAGTTAGCATCACCCCAAGTAAAAAAAAAAATGGATGAAGTGATACACATAACAGTGAGTCATACACTGTCAGAAACCACATAATCAAGTCTATTCGAGATACTGAACACAGTTTGAGGCCAGTGTGTGAAGCTTACTGGTGGGATATTAGCTTCTATTACTTGTTCCAAACTAACGTGTTCTTTCTCTGTCCTAGAGTTGTTTTCCAAGCCAGTTCTGACCATAACACCAGTCGGAGTGTTCGAAGGGCAGCCGTTTAATGTCATCTGCAAAAGCTCCAACTTTGAATCAAAGAGAATCCGCCAGGATGAAGTGAAATATTCCATCTACAGGAACGAACACCTCGTCACTCCTGGAGCGTTTGACGGAGGGTACAGGGATATAGCCGGCACACACACTGATGGGAATTATACGTGCAACGCTCAAACAAAAAACATCATTAAATGGAGCCAGCTTCAGATCTTCAAAGCTAAAAGTAAAACAGCTTTGCTCTAAAAACTTAATGATAAATAATCGGTTGATTTACTTGAAAGGTGTCTTTATAACACATTCGTAACATCTTACATAAACACTTCATAACATGTTCATTAATGTTAAAATCAGTATTCATAAAGCATACATGTTTTACACTATATTAATATAGACTACCATGTCATTTTACTGAGATACATTTTTTTCAAAATAAAAGTCCTCCTTTTTTAGTCTTATTTTCAGTGACACGCCTCATTTCTGGACAGCTGAAATAAAAATGACCTTGCTTTACTCGTTTGGTCGTTAAGTGCTTTGACATTTTGGCACATTTCGCCTAAACCCTCAGCTTCTTTTTAATTATTTGTTTCTTCCTCACGTATGGTATTGGAGAAGGAACAAGTATAATTGTGCATTGGTTATGCCATTTAATTGACATGGTTTAAGGCTAACATCTCTGTTAAATGACACAGTAGTCCATATTAATATCATGTAAAACATGTATGCTTTATGAATGTTGATTTAAACATTGATGAATATGTTATGATGTGTTTCTGTAACATGTTATGAATGTGTTATGTTGACACCCTTCAAGTAAAGTGCTACCATAATTATTTTGGGTTACACGATGGCAACAGCTTAACTAAATTACAATGAACTGCTGAACAGGTTCAGGATTTTAACTGGTACACACTCAACAGTACTGTTTTATTTTTGATTAAAAAAAATACCTTATTTTGTACTTTTATACAAAGTTTTTTTTTGTACAGACTTTTATACTTTGTACTTTATTCATTGTATTTCATACATACTACCTGCTACACTGAAAAAACTTGATTCAGATGTTCTTTTTTCAGTGTAGCAGGTAGTTATATGACATAAAAAGATTATCCTATATAGTTTGTACATGTTTATTAGCTACAAACTAAACTGAATCTGGGCTGTGAAAGAAAGCAGATATTCTTACTGTGGTTCTTCTGGGTTCTTTACTGGGTTCTTTCTGTCTGTATGTGTGACATTACATTAAAATGTACGTGATGCTAGGTTAAATGTAATGTAACCATTAAAATGTAATGTAAACATGTTTATAGGGACCATCTTGTTATGAGATATTGTGCTTCACCTACTTATTAGCTAGAACCCATAAGTCAGTGGTCTACAACCCTGGTCTTGGAGAGCTCCCCTCCTGCAGAACCTAGTTCCAGGCACAATTTGCCACACCTGCTCCAGCTAATTAACCTCTTTCCAAGCTTCTGATTGGCTAGATCAGATTAGAGTTAAGTGAGGGGCGGGGGCAGTTTATTGGATTACAGGTTGGATCTAAACTCTGCAGGACTCACTAGGACAAGGGTTGGAGACCACTGCTGTAAATCACTTCAGTGTAGTTCAGTTAGACTGACTTGTTACTTAATATTATTTTACCCAATATAATTACACATTACTGTGGAGTTTGTACCACACAGTCAGTTAATATCTAGTGCCTGTTTGGGGTTTAATTGTAATTTAGTTAAGCTGTTTTGGAACCTAGCATCACGTAAAATGAAGACCTTGAGATCTGTACTTGATTGCTGACCTAATTCCAAAAAGTTGGGACAGTAAAATGCATGTAAAAACAGAAGAACAGGAAGCAGTGATTTGTAAACTGTCTTTTACAGGGATTTAATTGAAAACAGCACAAAGAAGAGATTTTAAAACAATATCTGTGAATCTTTTAATAATGTTCTGGACTGTAGATGGCGAGATCTCTAAATCCATTGCCATCATGCATTGAGAAATGTTGTTCAACTGTTGCCTCATCGCCTGTTATCTATACACCTGTTTACCTGTGGAAAGTCTCAAAACAGGTGTTTTTGATCATTGCACAAGCTTCTCAGTCTTATGTTGCCCCATCCCAACTTTTTACAGTGTTTTGCAGGCTACAAATTTGGTATATTATTTACAAAAATCAAAGTTGATAAAAAAATGTTTATTGTCTATTTTTTTAGATGCATTGCACTAAGTCTAGACTGTGTCTGATTTTTTTCCACTTCTTCCTCTAGCGCTGGTCTCCAGGCCAGTCATTGAGGTGGTCGATAAGGTGGTCCTGGGTCATCCATTTAAGATTCACTGCCGCTCAGAGAAAGGGAGCTTTCCTATCAACTACACATTGATCAGAAACCATAAGCCGCTGAACCACTACCTGTCTCTGCACAAGGACGACCAGGCCGTCTTCTCTGCTGACATTACCACCAAAGACGAAATCCATGCCTACAAATGCAAGGCGTGGAACAGCCAGAACAGTCCTCCACTGATGAGTGAAGCTCTGTCAGCTCCAGTTATAGGTGAGTTAACCATAATGTTCAATCCGTTTGTGTGTGTGTGTGTGTGTATATATATATATATATATATATATATATATATATATATATATATATATATATATATATATACATACTGTGATGGACTCGCGACCTGTCCAGGGTGTATCCTGCCTTCCGCCCAATGATAGCTGGGATAGGCTCCAGCACCCCACCGCGACCCAGTAGGATAAGCGGTTTAGATGATGTGTGTGTGTATGTATGTATGTATATGTGTATATATATATATGGTCCATTCATCATAAAATGTTCACACAATGTAAAGACAAGTTGGCATTTTGAAATATGAAATATGAAAAACTTCAAAATATGAGGAGTTTTTCTGGTGACAGGGACAAAATGCATTGATTTTTTACTTTAAACTTGACATTTTAAGACCATGTTTTCAAATTTCTGTTCTGGCGGCTCTTTTGTGGTTTTCATACTCCATGTCACTTGACTCATCTCAACAGGGGTTTGGTAATTAGCCGTTTTGAAGGATGGAGTGTGTTGCATTGATCATGGTGATCTGAGGCAGCTACAGAGCATTTCATTCTACTATGCGTGCTTTTCTATGGAGATTGCATGACTGTGTTCATGCATTTTAACACCAAGTGTGAGCAATGGGTGGGTCTTATAGAACCTGACTTCTCTAATTAGAATGGAGTGTCTGGACAGTTTTGGACATGTAGTGTACCAGGACAATCATATCATAATAGCAACCTAATGATTTGTTCCTCCAAAGGCTTCTTTCTATTGGCCAGACAATGCTCACTTAATTCTATTACTATCTTATTATTACAGCTCAGTGTGTTGTTATTTATGGAAAAAAAACTAGTTCTTAAAAACTGTTAATGAGGTCCCACAGGGTTCTACTCTTGGCCCAATGCTTTTTATTAGTTTTTATTACAGAGGTTGGAAAACATTGAAAATTGTTTTGATTAAGTTTTATAGAGATGATACTGTCATATGCTCTTGTAGATTTTGAAAAAATACAGAAAGATTTTAACTTGATACAGAAATTTTAGTGCAGCCTGAAACTAGTGTTGAATGAAAGGAAGACAAAATGGATAGCACTCTGTAACAGTCTTGTCAACCTGAGAAAATTATGTAAATGATATATATTTTATATTATATATGAATTAAGCTATTTATCTCTGTGCTAAACATTTATTTGTTGATTTATTTTATCCATTTTCAAAGCTGTCCTCAAGAAAGTCCATTATTTACAGTGACCATCCAATACCTCATTTATCTAATCAACCCTTCATTAAATTAAATCACTCTGATGGAACAGAACAAAACCATGTGTTGGTTTGAGTTTAGTGGTGTTCTTATCTACATATTCATAACTTTACTGAAAACAACAAATTCTGTCCATTTTTCACTGTATTCCTGTTTATTTGCATATGTTATAGAGTGTTTCACTGGCAAAAACTCTGGAAGCTTTAAACAGTTGGTTTTTCAAGTCTTTTGTACATGCTGCATGTCTTAAACAGAACTGATAGTTCCCATAGTTTAACATTATATACTAGTACAGTTATAAATACTGCTACAGTTATAGACAGTTATGATTTCAAATTGCACATTCATGGGGACATTGAATCAATTACAAACTGTCTCCTAGAACAATATTGATGAGGTATTTTTAAAAAAGTAATTTACAAAAGGAATCTCAATTAAATTAACATTTTTTGCCATCTATTACACTGTACTACCTTTTTGTCAGTTTATGCTACTTTTAAGCATCCCGTTTACTTTACAACCACTTATATACCAACATAAAGAGAAAACAAAAAATTAATAGAGAAAACATGTGGACTTAATAAAATGTAGAAATGTAAATGATATATTTTGTGTTCTTTTCACTTGCAGTTCCTGTAAAGAAGGTGTCTCTGCAAGTCCTCCCGAGGCCTGACCAAGTTATAGAGGGCACTGATGTTTTCCTCATCTGCAACGCTGGCAATGGAACTCCTCCAATCAGCTTTAATTGGTACCGGTTGGGCAGCAACATGCCGCTGAAGTCCAAAACAGTTCAGGTCAATAACTCTGCACATAACCTCTCCGCAGTGAGCAGCGAAGACAGCGGCACGTATTACTGTGAAGCCTTTAACAACGGCAGTGCGCAATCACAGAGCGACAAAGTCACCTTCACAGGTGAGTCAACTCATAAACCAGAAACTCTCTCTTCAATGAGACAGATAGCAGGTGCCAAAGGTGAACCATGATAAGTGTAATAAATATAAAAACACACTTGAACCATCTGATATTCATTAGCAGTGTTGGGGTAGTTACCCAAAAACAGTAATCCATAACAAAAATACTAATGTCTTCTCTCAAACTGTAATGGGATTTTTATTACTCATTACTTCCTGGAAAAATGACTTTCACTAATCATTACTTTACTTTTATGTTGCTCTCTAAAACCCAAACATATCTGTGCCAGCTAGAAAACACATGAGAAAACCCAGGAGTCCTTTCAGTACTTAGAAAGTAGTTGCTAATCAGGGTAAACATCATTTAAAAGCAGTGGCAAACCATGACTATTAAAGAGTTTGCCGCCTCGATTTGAGCTATGAACATCCAAACTTGGTCATAAATGAGGAAAAACCCACCTCAACAATAATGCTAACTTCTGTCAGTTTGAGCCAGAAACATCAAAACATGGTCAAAACATCAGGAAAAAACTACCTCAACAATAATGCTAACTTCTGTCAGTTTGAGCCAGAAACATGAAAATGTGGTCAAAACATCAGAAAAACCCACCTCAAATAGTGCTAACGTCTGTTAGCGCGCTTATGGGATTCTAGTGGTCTATTGGCACCAAGCTAATGGCGATTTGCATTAAATGAACATTATTCTAGATTAAACACAGACCTTTGAAAAAAGATATTCCATGTTTTACTTGAAGCTTGCGACAGATTTTAGCAAATATTTTACCTTGTAGCAGTTTCACAGTGACTCCTTCAGTAGAGAGTCTGGTACAGAGCTGCTGCCGCTGTTTTCTATTTCTAAAATCTCATTGATTAGGCTGTGGATATTTATAGTCAGTGACATATCTGAATATTCCTCAAAAGTGGAATATTTTCTTGTAAAATATGAAGTCAACTTCTTGTGCAAACTTTCCCGTTCCACCTAAAATGAATGTAACTGCACCATTCAAGGTGTAACGGGACAATTTGAATGAGAAATTACTTCAGCTTTGCAACGTTATAGTGTTTGACAGTTTTTCGTTGCAGATTAAACATATAAGGAAACCAGCTAGAGTGATTATAAGTGCAAATTAGTCCATCCGTCTCCAAATTATCAAAGTCTGCTGTATCCGCAAAAGGGCAGTAAAAGAGTCACATGCGGCTCCCGAGCTCCTGAAGTCCAGTGAGAGAGCTCGCTTATCTGTATTTACCTAGATACCATTGAGAAACACAATTACTGATTGGACAATTTTTACATTTTAAGTATTTAACCCTTTTGTTTCCATCCAGAACTTAACGATAAAGCAAGAGTAATACTGCAACACGTACAGTTTAAATAAACTTGATTCTGTGGAATAGAAATTAACCAAAACATTTTTTCCCTGTCTCTTTCCTTTGCAGTGAGAATGGCCCATTGGAAGATTGGCGTAATTGCTGCTGTTTGTCTGCTGTTTTTGGCGTTGTCTGTGGTGGTCCTGATCAAGTACAGGTCTAAGAGAGGTAGAGAGACCTACAGCCCGCCTAGTGTGGCGCTAGCACCCCATGCCTGACCTTCCTCTCAACAAAAAAAAAAACAAAAACCCTCTTTCATCCTCTCTCTCTATCGCAGGTAAACGAGAGACTGCTGCCCAGCTCTCAGTGTGAGTGTGCTTGCTTGTTCGCTTCTTAGACCACATCTGTAGGGAGAAAAGTGTTAGCATTAGCTATTATTAGCCACAGTTATTGGGACCCAAATTTAGCGAGTGGTTTGAGACAACAGTGACGGGTGTTTTAACTAAGCTCCTTAGTGTATTAATAGTCTACATTTGCTGTGGTGGTGACTTAGCTACAGTAGCTGGAGTGCTAACCTAACCAGTAGGCCTATAAAAGCAGGATAAACAGAAATGTAGAGTGCAACAGAGTGATTCTAGAGCTGGCTTTACATGATGAGCAATAGTGTAAATTGCCACTAGTGAACTGTTGACAGTCAACATGTGGAACACAAGTAACAAAGTAATAAAACAAAAAATAAAAATAATTATATATAACAGATTCTGTGCAAACCCCATGGTTATTATCAACACTTACATTCCAGTATTATTTATGTTAAGTAATTTTTAGAGTTTCAAACAGGCTTTCATTGAAATATAGTCTGCCCTCTTTCAAGTAGACCCAACAGCTCGGCAGATAGCTTACAGGCTAACAGCCTTCCCCAAAAATTAGTTTAATTTTGCACATTTTCATACATTTCTTATCCAATTTTTATCTAAAAAGAAATTTTTGACATGTGACAGATGAGCAAGTAAGTGTAAATGATGTATCATTCCTAAATTCATTACTTAAACAATGTACTTTTTTAGATCAGCAGGCAAATTTGGGGGGTCCTTGATAAAAAAAGAAAACAAACGAAATAAAACTGAATTATGCTACTGATAGTGAACTGTCTCAGAAATCCTTTAAAAAAATCTGTTCACTCAGCAGCACCACAGCGCAGTTGTGTTCAGTCGTTTAAGGCTACTGTGTACTTAAAGAGGAGTGACCTATAAACCCAAAACTGAAGACTAGTTTTCAAAAGCAGATTTGCAGTCATTGAGGTTGTTTACATGCACTTAATAATCCGATAACTGCAGAAAATCATGCACTTGGGTTTTGAGATAATGGGAAGAGTACAGGTCTGCATGAATCAGCCAGTAACCTGATTTCTGCTTTACAGCTGGCCAGTAAACCTGCAGAAGCAGACCCAGCGTAAACGTAATGTAATACAGCATATAATCGTAAAACATCATGCCGCAGTTTTTTTTTTCCCAACATTGCGCCACTTACCTGAAAATATTAATATCCATCATCTAGAACATGAAGAATATTTAAAACCTTCATTTCCTCAAGCATGTAGTCGGTTTCAGAGTCACTTCAAAAGCGTTTTGTTACTGTTTCGTGGGTGCTTTGTTAAATGCTGCTTGCTTATTTCCAGTACGATCTGGTTTTGTAGACAGAGAAATGAAAGAAATCAGAGTAAGAGTTTACATGCATTGAGATATCTGATTACTGAGCTCAAATCCAGCCCTCTTGATCAGATTTCTTAATCAGATTTTTAAACCTTACTCCAATCTATATAAGATTATGATCAGATTATTAGTGCATGTAAATGCACTCACTGTTAAAATCGGACAAAAATCTAAGAGTTTGTTGTGTTTCGTTCAAATAACACAAATTATATAATTTTTTCTAGTTGTTCTGATTGCATAATGTAAAGCCTGTTGCAATGCTGTCTGTTTTGCTAGCATTTCATCTGTATTATGGTTTTTCAGGTTATTAATTTTCTCCTCCCTTGACAAAAAACTGATTCAAATGCAGGCTAAATGACATAACAGATGACTTATACAACCAGACCAAAGCAATACATTAACTAAACTTGCTAACTAGTGGAATAATTTAATGTGTTGCATTTGACTTTCATTATTTTTAACTCCTTCATTCAATTGTCAAGTTGGATGGAAATTGCATTTCATGCCAGCTTGCAACCTGAGGTTAGGCAGATGAACGTTTCAGCATGTAAAGCCAGCCTACAGGTCCAGTCACACTAGCTTTTGGGGGCAAAATTTCACAGGTGAAACTTTGATAGACAGATTTTCAGCATCCACCTACAGCACTGCTGCATTGATGTCTGAAGGTCTTAAATGTTTTGCAAAGAGATGCAAATTTCAAATATCTAGTGTGACTATGGCTAAAAAGTGTCATGATTATATTTGTAGAAGCTGTTCTAGCTCTTGCAAAACAGTCAAAATAGGGTTTTTATGGGGAGGAAAAAGCTGGAGGGTTTTTTGGCACTTGAGCAGTGCAGTGAGGAAGGAAATTCTCTCTCTCGCTTCTGTCCAATTCTGAGACTAATCTTCTCTTCACCATTTCTCAGAAAGCCTGCAAGCCCTAAATCAGATGACACAATAAACTCACACCCATGACGCTCTCTAGCGCTGCTAAAGGTAGCTCCTTTTTTTCTTTAATTTCCCCTCAGTACCTTCATCATCCCATCCCACCTGTCATTCAACTCAGCACTCTATAGTCTACTCTATTATCTGTAATACAAGCAATCAAGATTTTAGAAGTTTGATTATGATTGTGGTTCTGGCAAACAGCAGTGGGCTAGAGTTTTAACGCATGCTAACACTTACTACTGCACATAGAAGTCTTGCTAGCTAACACAAGTGCACATTTTGGACTGTAGGTTCCATTTTTAATCCAACAGCTCTTCCATTTCACCACTCTTTCCATCCACATTTTTTCCTGACAGAAGAAAATTCTCAGAGTACCTACATATGCACACCGTAAGTGCTAGCTACCAGGTCTTTAGCGATGAGAAATGCTAAATGCACCCACTGAGCATGCATACCCATGGTGCATTGCGTGAACAGTCATTGAGATTTTAACCGAATGAAGAAGTCGTCATTGGCGCTGACTATTCAGATGGTTTTAGTGAACTGGCTAACTTAGCAAAGTGAGGGGGTTGGGGTGACATTATTTTGCAATGTTATTAAGTTTACATTTTGTGGACTTTTGCAGACTTTTGCTATCTGAAAAACACTATATAGACAAAAGTATTCAAACACCTACACATTACACCTGCAGGAACCTTTGACATCCCATTCTAAATCCATAGGCATTAATATGGAGTCGGTCCCCCTTTGCAGCTATAACAGATTCCACTCTTCTGGGAAGCTTTCTACAAGATTTTGGAGAGTGTCTGTGGGAATTTTTGCAAATTCATCTAGAAAAGCATTTGTGAAGTCAGACACTGATGTTGGAGGAGAGGACTGGCTCACAGTCTCTGTTCTAGTTCATCCCAAAGGTGTTTGATGGGGTTGAGGTCAGGGCTCTGTGCAAGCCAGTCAAGTTCCTCCATACCAAAATCACCCAGCCATGCCTTTATGGAGCTTGCTTTGTGCACTGGGGCTCAGTCAAAGTTGGAAGCATATTATTGTCCAAAATGCCTTGTTATGCTGAAGCATTAAGATTTCCCTTCACTGGAACTAAGGGGTCTAGACCAACCCCTGAAAAACAACCTAATAGCATTATCCCTCCTCCACCAAACTTTACAGTTTGCAGGTAACGTTCTCCTGGCATTCAGCAAACCCAGATTCATCCATCAGACTGCCAGATAGAGAGGCGTGATTTGTTACTCCACAGAATGCGTTTCAACTGCTCCAGAGTCCAGTGGCAGCATGCTTTACACCACTCCCCCTGATGGAATTGTGCATTGTGATCTTAGGCTTATATGTAGCTGCTCAGCCATGGAAACCCATTTTGTGAAGCTCCTAATGTGCAGTTCTTTTGCTGATGTTGCTTCCAGCGGCAACTTGGAACTCTATAGTGAGAGATTGAACAGAGCATTGGCACTTTGCGCTTCAGCACTCGGCGGCCCCGCTCTCTGAGTTTGCGTGGTCTCCCGCTTTGTGGCTAAGCTCCTGTTGCTCCTAGATGCTTTCATTTCACAGTAACAGCACTTACAGTTGACTGGGGCAGATATAGCAGGACAGAAATTTCTGACAACTGACTTGTTGCAGAGGTGGCGTATGACATGGCCTATGACAGTGCCATGTTTAAAGTCACTAAGCTCATCAGTTTGTCCCGTTCTACTGCCAGTGTTTGTCTGTTGAGACTGCAAGACTGTGTGCTTAATTTTATCCACAGGTTAGCAATGGGTGTGGCTGAAACACCTGAATTCAATAATTAGGAGGGGTGTCCTAATACTTTTGTCCATGTAGTGTAGGAATAAAGTGGTTCAAAAGGAGCTGTTTATCTGTTTTATTCTGTGCAAACCTGGCTACTTGTTCATTGTAATGTGTTAATGCTAGCCAGCTAGCCAACATAGGCGAGCTACCGTTAACAGCTGTTTGGTTACAACTTTAAACATGTGAGGCTAATAATGGCAACACTTTTAAAGAATTAGAGGAGACGGAATACTGCCGCCCCAGTGGATAAATGTAAGGCTAACGTGAACTTAACTTACATATCTGAACAATCAAAAGAGTAGCCTTAACAGTGGTATATCCTCCTGACAAAGAATATATGTACATGCGCTATATATTAGAATACATACAACTAAACAAAGTAAAATACAAAAAAGAGTTTTTGCAGTCAGACACTGAAACTGCTACTTTGCTAGATGACAGTTTCGCTCAGTGTATCGTGGGCATGTGTGTTTAGTATCTCCCTTTAGCGATAGGCATTCATATGCATGTATCTGTTGTTCATGTCTAGAAGGTAGACTTGCATGCAGTTTGAGCTCAGTCGTTTTGGAGTCAGTGATCAGCCGTTGGCTGGCATGTATGGAGCTTCTTTGTAGGTTAGCATGCTAGCGTTCTTGCTTTTCTGCGTTTTGCTGTGTTCGAGGACGATCCCAAACCTCCCCCCCAATCTTATTACAGGCGGAGTGGCACACTTCGGCTCCAGGAAGAAGAATCTGACCAATGAAACGCAAATAATATCGCTGTTGGAACAAGTGACAGCAACTCCTGCACAATTCTGAATGCAGCGTGGAAGCCAGACGGTTCTGGACCGAAAAGCGGGGAAAATACTTACAATTGAACTCAGCTGAAACCTTAATGAAAATGATTTCAGGACCTTTAAACAACATCTAAAGAGAAAGAAATTACAAGAAATCAGTGTTACAGATACAGACGAGGAGGAGCGTCTGCATTGCATTTTGGATTGACATGCTATCATTGATGACCTTTTTTATTCCTTATTTTCCCAGCATATTTCTACACACTATTTATTTCCTTTGATGCCTTCTCACTACCTACCTCTCCCACACTCGTTTTCACAGATCACTTTAAATGATAAATATATCATTTAAAATAACTGCACAATAATCGCCTAAACAGATGGTAAATAAACCATCACAAAACACTACATGCTGGAGAGAATGTGTCGCTTAAAGGGGAATTCCACTACTATTTCCACATTTCTGCATAATTCAGTGCTTGAGATGTAAACAGAGTGATTCAGAGTGGTTTGGTGTGAAATGGTTCAGATTTCTTTACAGTGGTGCTGATAGGAAACAGGGGTTACCATGAACACAACACTAATATATACATTTTATTTGCTATCTAAAACCACCAGTAAACCTACACAAGTCTTCTGAGTTTAATATGGAATGTTGATGATGGGAAAATAGTGGAAAATCTGAAATAATAAGTTGTCTTTGGGGACTATTTTGCCTCACAACACCCTGCATGTATCCCTCCAACATGAATGAGTTTAAAAATGCATTTTAAGCCAAAACCATCATAAAACAATGTCTCAAACATCAGGCAGCATATTAATAACCATTTCACACCAAACCACTTTACGTCTTAATCATTTAATTGCGCAGAGGACCATCACTGGCACTGCGGCCAGACTATGCTTAATCCATGTCCAGGAAACTAGCCTTTAAAGAATGTATTACCATGCTGTTAGTTCACCTTCTCACTTTTCTTTCAAGGCACATTTTAGATTTTTATGCTGTTTTTGATTGTTTATGAATTTGTTTGTCCTACCTTTTGTTGTATAAGATGGGTGAATGTGTGTTTTTTTGTTTTGTTTTGTTTTCGGTGCTGTTGGTTATGATTTCACTGTAGAGTTATCACTAAGAACACGTGTGTATATATTTGAGTTGATAATTGGATTGCACTAAAGAAATAAAAATGCTTTATTTTGGAAATTTCATTCTTTAAGGGAATTATTATTGTATTATTATTACTATTCTATTTATTTCTACCTATCTGTCTAATCTTATTTGTCTGTCTTTATGTGTATATAATTCTTGTTTCTATCACTTTAATCTTAAACTCAGGCCTTTGATTTCTCAAGAACTGATTATTCTGGACTTTATCAAATAATGTATTAATTAATCTGCATAGAACAAGAACAATGCTTTAAATGTTTTAGATACAGTTTCACACTGTTAGAGCTGAAACATGATCATAATTATTGGCACTTTTCATATGTTATACTTCAGGGAAAATCAGGCCTGGCCAGATGTTTACAGTTAAACAGTGAGACAAAACGTCCATACAAGCAATAGTACACTGTCCCAACCTGTCTTTGATTTTCTTTACAAAAAAACAATCTGCTAATCTTAATACATTAAATAAAAGTCTGTTCTAAGTCAACTCAATTGGAAATGAAAGGGCTGGGATGGCAATAAATTTGACCAAATAGCTGAAATGAGACAGAGTTTATTCCAGGCATAGTGTCAGTAAGTGAATGCCACAGGCTGAGGAAATCCACTGATTGCTGCTAAATGTAAGAAACGCAGTTCTACTCCAAACAGTAACTTCCTGTTAGTCTGAATAAGCCACAGTAATCACTGCAGTCTCAGAAAGTCAGTGATCTGAGATACAATACATGTTCTGGACCCAAATACCAGTTGGGCTATTTGTCTATAATCAGGCTGAGGAGTTAATTCTCTGTCTGATAGAGTAGATTCTAGTAGGTTGGGGCACTTTAACAAGCTTAATCAAAATGAGAAAAGAAACCACTTGATTAAATAGAGTAAAATAATGGCTTTACAACTCCCTACGACACTGTCCCACTTTACCTGAGCCCACCCTGATCTCCCTCTGCTGTGTTTAGAGTTCAGGTTTGAGGTGCTCCTGTTGATGTGTTGCTGTTTTTTTTTTCTGTGTTTTCTGCAGTTGGAGTCGACCGCAGTGGTGAAGCTGGTGTCTGGAGCCGGAGACCACCGGACACAGGTAAGGTCCACCTATAGCGCTGAATCTCCACAGCTTCCCAGGCCGGTTCACAGTTTGAACACCCCCAGTGAAATTACGCACCAAGTTAATGTACAATTTTTACTTATTTGGTGAGTTAAACGTCCCACAAACTTCAAAATAAAACATAATCGGTGCCATAACTCTTGGCATGATACAGTGTGTGAGTGTCTATGTGTCTGTGTGTCTGTAGGTGACAGTGGTGATGTGGTAGACATGGAGGAAGCGAATGTGGAATATACGGAGGTGCTGCATCCGCAGGCCGACCCCACACGAGGTAAACCGAACTTCAATAATGTTACACGAAGGAAGGACAAAAATAGCTGACATTCAGACTCTCTCTCGCTTTCTCTCTCTCTCTCTGTCTTTGTCTCTCTCTCGCTGTCTTTGTCTCTCTCTCGCTTTCTCTCTGTCTCTTTCTCACTCTTTTCTATTCCCTATTACTACCTAATCCTTTGCTTTCTTTTTCTCTTTGTCACTCGTTCTCATTTTCTTCCATTCTTTCTTTCTTTCTTTTTTCTTTCTTTCTTTTTCTTTTCCTATTTCTATCTTTCTCTCATACCCTCTCACTCTTTACTCTTCAATTCTCTTTCCATTCTCCCTCTCATTCTTTTATTCTCTCTCCTTTCTTTCTTTCTTTCTTTCTTTCTTTCTTTCTTTCTTTCTTTCTTTCTCTCTCTCCCTCTCTTTCTTGCTTTCTCTCATTCTCTCTTTCTGTCTCTCTCTCAAGTTCATATTTTCTTTATTGCCATGACAAAATTACATTTGTATTGTCAAAGCTTTGCAACAATTATCATATATCATATATTATTATATTAAGTAGTAAAGATAAAAAACATATTTGTTTATATATATATATATATATATATATATATATATATATATATATACAAATATAAATTAGTATATAATAAAAAAAAACAAAACTAGTTATCAAATGTATTTATGAAATTAAGAGGGGAAAAACAAAACAAAAAGCAAAGAAACTATAATACACATGTGCACATATAACAGTGAGGTGTGTTCGTAATGGTGGTCACTCACTGTACCGGAGTGTATTACACTCATATACATTCTCTATCCTGTGTGTGTGTGGGGGGGGGGTAACTGTGCTGTAATTAATTGGAGGTTTGGTCCTGTTTCTTTAACAGCTCATTCTCTCTCTCTCTCTCTCTGTGTGTAAACAGGATGGGTGGAGCTGATTACTGCAGTAATGCTCCATCATTCACATTCTAACATCTCAGCTACTCTTAGCTCTTTCTCAGCTTATATAACAGGCGGTTTTTCGGCGTGGTTTTCCTCAGGGACACGCGTCTGTCTGGCTGGTTTGGAGGTTTAGAGCTGAACGGAAGATGTTTAGTGATTGTATCATTTGGAGATAAAGGGGAATTCCACGCCAGTCTTGTCTCATATTTACTTTGATTTTCGCTCAGTGATGAACTGAGATATCAAATGCGAAATGCGCTGTAACCAAAATATAATTTAAAAATTTCAAATGTGAACATTAAAGGGTTCATTTTCTTTCTCTCTCTTTTTCTCCTCAGTTCCACTGAAGAAAGGTACAGATACTGTATACAGTGAGCTTCAGACTCTTCCACAAGGTACGCCCCCCTGCACACATTTATGCACAATTATGCTACTTAATCCAATGAAAGCAGTGGTTCTGCCAAAAAAAATTTTTTCTTCTCACCCCAAAATCAGCCAAGACATGTTTGGTGTCTGAAATTTCCTTCTTAAGGTTTGTGCTGGAGCTACGAAGATAATTTAGCTAAGAAGAAATGGAAACTTATGTACATCAAATGTACATTAAAGCAATGTTACTATAACTACAACTTTGTGAGCAAAAGTGAGAAAAGGCCTTTGCTTGCCACTCTGCGCCACATGGTATGCAGTTACCTGCAGAGTGTTCTTTTAGAAATTGGTGGTGAAGAACCTGCGCTGACTTCTAGAAGCAATTCTTTCCTGGAAGTGTTTTTTATTCACAAGCCGTGAAACACGCCAGCGGACCCTGTCCATCAGTTTCCTCTTTCGGCCACAATTCTGATGAGAATTTCATGTAGACTGGGATTTCTGCCACTGCTGGTAGACGCGCTTGACTACGCTTCAATATACCTGCAAATTCAGCTATTTCCTTCACACTATGGCCTTTAATGTGCCCAAATGCAATCACTCCTTTTTGCCAATCATTAACATCTGCTTTGCTACCCATTTTCCACACATCGAATGGGACATTCACTACACTGTACCACCTCTTCTCAATCTATGAATCCCGTCGTACACCACGCAGGTATCTACAGCCCAATCGTCCTCATGCAATGCCATTTGCATGAGCTTGAAGTTACTACCATCTTAGACATGCATGGCAATTCATTTTTTGTCCAGGGAGCAAATGTAGTGTATATTTCAATCAGCATCATGCAAACTACTGTATAGAAATAAACAAAAGTACAGACAATTAGCAGTTGGCTTAACTAACTGTATGCCTATAGTCATTTGCAAAAGTTTGGTTTGGGCGTCCCAGTCGAATTTCACGTTTTGTTGATTTTCTAAGTCAAGGGTTCCTCCAGTCCAAGTTGTTAGAGTTCCATTATCTTCCATTCTATGGAAGTCCAGAGAGGCCATGAGCTGTATTTTTTGAGATCTTTCCTTCCTTCTTTAACATAGATGGGACAAAAGTAGTCTATGCCCGTGTAAGTGAGTGGTGGAGTTGTTTCTGACCGCACTGCTGCATCCCAAGATCCACCATTCATTAGCTCTCAGTTCATTTATCGTCAGTACACATTCTTAATCTACTCTTTCGTGAAAGTGCTTAAAGTGCTTCATCAAACTTACTAATGGCTCTCAGATAAGTACATTCACCATAGCCGGAAACACTTGCTTTCGAAAAATGGTGAAGCTCATACCTTTTGGCGCTGCCAAAACTTGAAGGTAAGAAGCATCTTTTAATTTTCATTTCAGCCAGATTGGGTAGGTCTCTAATGGAAGTTCCTCATCCCAGCCGTTCTTTCTGCACATTTGCTGGAGTATTTGTTTCCCCAAAAGGACGAAGGGAACCCCAAAGGATCATACATAGAGGCTATGTTAGAGAGCACACCTCTTCTCGTTTGCAGATTAGGTTTTACTTGAACTCTGAACTTAAATGAGTCAGATGTGAGGCACCACTCTACTCCAAGAGATCTCTCCATACGGTAAACTCAAAGCCATATCTGGATCTTTAATAGCGCCATGTTCTTCCTCAGGGATGGTTGCCATCACGCTCTCACTGTTGGAAATAAACTTGTGGAATCTTAACTTCCCAGTGCTGCAAATATCTCTTGATTCCTTGATAAGTTGGATGGCTTCCTTTTCAGTTTGAACACTTGTCAGACCATCGTCTACGTAGAAATTTCTTTGGATGAAGCGTATGGCATCCTGACCTTGACCTTG